ATAATGAGCAATGGACAATGACGACAAGAAATATAAACATAAGAGTAAGTGCGCAAAAGCAAACTCAAACACACGAAATGATCACGGAGTTCGGACCTTCCGTCCTACGTCTCCGCTCCCCACTCCCGAGGAGAAATTCACTATCACAACCGGGTTTTCTACGATCACCCGAATAACGTTTATACCTCACAGTATTGGTTTTCAACAGTCACCGATCAACGTCTACACTTCACACCTCATAATACGGTTTTCTAGCTAACCAAAAACTCTACAACACTCTCAAATAACAACAAATGATTTGTTCTCTAATATAAGGTGAGAACTCATTTAAAGCACACACTCAATTATTACAACTCTCACCAACCCAAATATACTATGTATAAAAATACAATAAGCTCAAGTGGGTGTGTGTAAACAATGAGTGAAATAAGATCTAACTCAATTAGCAAACTAGCAACAATAAGACTATAAAAATCAATAATAAAATTGCTAGAGAAAAGAGTTAGAAAAACTTCTCTATAAACACAAAGGAGAGGATAAAGAAGATTGAAGATGAATCCCTCCATTGACAACGCAAGCTTCCTCCTTTATAAACAAAAACCCCAAACTTAAAACAAACTAAACAAATTTTTAATCTTTTTTAAAACTTGTTTAAAACTCTCTCTTGGTGATAGAAAATAGTTATGGCAAATGGGTATATATAGGATAGAAGAAAACAACTCAAAAAACCCTAAAACCCCACTAAAAAACAAAGAAACAGATGTTACCATTACTGTACAATGGTCAACTGCTACAGTAATAGTGGTCGACCATACTGTAGTGCGGTCGACCACACTGTTCACAGACAGTTTCTGTTTTTTGACAGATTCTGGAATTTTGCATATCTGACTTTGTAAAATTAATTAAAAATAGTAAATCAACTCTAAAAATCATGAAATTTTGAGAGAAGGTTCTAGACATGTAGATAAATATGTTAGAATAAGAGTTTCTGAAATACCAATTCTCCGTTGAGAGAAATAATTATTTTAACACAGATATACAATTTCTGAAAAAACTGCTGAAAACATGTTTATGTAAATTCAATTGAAAATAACAAAACAACTCAAAAATTAGTAAAACTTAGAGAAATATTTTTATATATTATGATAAACATGTAAATGAAATTTTTTTCAAATCTCATTTCCCAATTGTGAAAACGCATTAGTTTTACAAAAAAATGCACGAACATGTGCACGAACATGAGCTTATTAAAAACTTGATTTTGTAGATTCAAATAAACATAACAAATTAATTCCAAAATTGATAAAACTTTGGAAAATATTTATAAACATGAAATTGAACATGTTAGAAAAAGAATTTCTCAAATTGAGTTTCCCATTTGTGAAAACTCATGTATTTTGTAAGTGTGTCCAAAACATGAAAATGTGATATACATGAAATTTGATGTTTTGAGATAAACAATATTTTGAAACCCTATGAAATAATTTTATAGACTTAATGAAATATGTATACAATGATTGTTAAATCCATAAACCAAAACTTGTGTATATATATAACTATATATATAAAAACCAAATATGTGTGTGTATATATGATTGAGCTTAAAGTACTAACACACATAATATAAAACCTAAACTAAATATACCCAAGCTTGATAGATCTTCAATGTAGCTCAACTTGGTATACTTATGGATGAAGCTAGAACTTGGATCTTCAAATTGAATTGCATAGGCTTCACTCCATAATTCCGCCAACCTCCATTTAATATGATCGTGAATGCTCGATTCCATCCATCCTCTAACTTATTGTTTGTCTACAATAAATAAGAAAACACAAATACTAGACAAACAACATTAGTGGTAAATTGTTTATTAAACATCATCAAAACAAAGAGGCTAATAGTTTATGGATTGGTACGTTTACTTAGTAGTTAGATGTTGAATCTGACAATATTTATTTGGATCAATAAATTTTCTATTGGTATTGCCCAAGGTTTTGAGCGCTCATGGTTTTAAAACCTAACTGGTTTTGTTTCTTGTAGTTGACTAAACTACTCAGTATCCATTACGTACATGTTTGATATTTCCAGGTTTGATGCGATTTTCCATGTCATATACATATTTATGACTAATCAGGCTGTTTATAGATTTTTTTTATAAGTTTCATAAGAATTTTTCGCTAATTCAAGTATGTATTTCATGAAATTATGAATAATCAAGTTATTACAAGTTTCGTTTGTTTTTTTCATGTTAAACATGTTTCGTACGATTTTTTATGTCAAACAAGTATATTTCATGTCAAATTAGGTATGCGGTTTATAATAATTAATCATGTTATTACAGGTTTCTTATGATTTTTTATGTCAAATAGATATTTATAGTGAATTTTGTAGTTTTTTTTTCATGTTACATTTGCATTTTTATTTTTCTAAGATTACCTCTCATAACGATCACAAATAAATTTATTTTTAGTAGGGGGTAAACTTACCATAGTGATCGTATACACTTTTCCATACACACTTCAATACCAACCAAACATAACAAAAGTGAGAAATATCTAATCAATAAAAGTTTTTCTTTTTTTTTTATACAAACCAAACACAAAAAAGGGAATACATAGGTTTCCCACCATGTTTTATGTGTGAACCAAACCTAAACATTTAATAGTTTAGTCTATGAGAATATGAATTTTCCGTTAATGTGCTACATAAATGTTATGTGATTCAGCTAGTTTTTAGCATAACTAGTATAATTCACATGCTTTGCACGTGGACATGTTGTTGTATTTAATATTATATTATTTAATAAATTATATATAAACATTTTACAAAATTATTTAATTGCACTATGATTAAAAAAATTTAAGTTGTACTATAATTAATACTTATACTATTATTAACATACATTTAATAGTTATTTAAATTAGCTTATTATTATATTATTGTACAATTTATTTAGGAGTATAATTATTAAATAATAATGTAATCATTAGTTTAAGTAACACTATTGATATAATTAAACTATTTATATTATTAAATATTTATGTTATGGACATATTTTATTACAATATTTATTAAATAATGGTAGTAGTTTTTAATATTATAAGACTTTATGTTGTAAAGAATATTACCTTGCTCGATAATTAATATCATCTTAGTAATAAAAAAATTGGATGGTGTAAATTAAAAATACCGTTATTTAGGAAAAGTATTCTATATAAAAATATTGGATCCTTGAAATTTATGAGACAATTACTTTCCAACAAAAAGTCAATGACTCATAGATTTTAAAAATCCAATATTTTTATATAAAGTAACTTTTCTAAATAAAAGTATTTTTAATTCATAATGTCTAATTTTTATTATTAAGATGATATTATAATATCGAAAAGGGTGATATTCCTTACAATATAAAGAATTATTAATCATAATTCATTATAAAATATTAAGAATCAACCCCTATTTTATTAAATAAATAATTTTACTATTTAATTATGATTAATAATTCTTTTATAATGAATTATGATATATTTATTAACTTTATTATAAATTATTAACATGTTCTAGCAAGTGACCAAATATTTTGGGGAAAAGAAGAGAAAAGTATATGTCTCATAAATTTCATGGATCTTAATATTTTATATAAATTAATTTTTAAAAATAAAAATATTTTTAATTTATAACGTCCAAATTTTTATTACTAAGATGATATTAATTATCGAACAAGGTAATATTCTTTGCAACATAAAGAAGTAACTCCTATTTATACTATTATTAATAATTATAATTATGTGCACTAATTTATTAAATAAAAAGACTTTTACTATTTTATATAATTAATAATTATTTATAATAAATTATCATATATTTATGAATTTTGTTATCATTATATATAATTAATAATTATTTATAATAATATATTTACAAATTTTGTTATCATTATAAATTATTAATATATTCTAGTGGATGACCAAATAATTTGAGAAAATGAAGAGGTGCATAGTTAATGAGAGGTTATAGATCATTAGTTTTATAAATAATGGTATAATTATGAGAGATAAAAAATTAAGAGGGTAAAAAGAAAAATCAAAAGTTTTGACATGAGTGTTCTCCTTTATAAGTAGTATAGATTTTTGTACGAATTCAATTTGTATAAACCAATTCCTTCAAATATATATTTTTATATAACTCTAACTCTCTACAAACTTTATTACTTTATTTATATAAAGCGTTTTTGAATAGTTGGAAACGATTTTGTTCTAAAAGGATAAACATATAGGAAGCGATTTTTTGTAGTTAAAAATCACATTAATGTATGTATGCACGACCTTAAAGAAGCTGTGTACGTTTTTCAAGATGGTATAGAAATGACTTCATTTTAAAAGGACTAGTTAGATTACACGTGCAATGCACGTGGTAAAATTTTTGATATTAATTTTAATTTTAATTATATTTATGGAAAGATTTGGTATAAATTTAAGGAATGTACACAATATGAACATAAGCTTAAAATTAAAAATGTTTGAATAATATGTTTATATTTAAGGATCAATTATGCGATATTGGAGTGGTTGTATGTACAAGTTGATTGATCAATCAAATACAATAACAAGAATATATGTAAAAGTAATGTTTGAAGATGTGGATTTAAATCCAAGCAAAATATTCTAAACTTTGTGTTTCCCTTTAGATTGATGAATTATATCGGTCATGAAGTTAACACTTTGAAATAGATTGATAAGAAAATGAACTTCCCTGTAGATAAATTTAAATCATAGTTAATTACTTAAATGTATACTCTACATAAGGTAGTACTCTATTTGAACGAAAATCAAATTCTACAGATACCATGACATATAACAAAAAGCATCATATTGTTTAGTTTATTTTCACATGAACTTGTACCTGAGGATTCATCCAAAACAAAGTTAGACAAACAACATAATTTTTTTTTCTTTCCAACTCATGTGAATATCCCAACCATAACCATGCTCATTTGCAATGCAATTGAACGATAGGAATTCATTGATCACCTAACCTTGCAATCATGCAATACTCAGCTTGTAATTTTATGAAACACTTAAAAGTTCAAAAGGACATAATTATTATATAAAACTATATCTCATTGACTCCACTCTCTCCAAAACACACATTTACATTTTTGAGTAATAACTGACAGGATCTCTAGCAGTGGTTTTTTCATCAGGTTAACCCAAAGACTTATCACGATCAAACCGTCCAGCTCTCCTTAAAGGTTGGTCAATTGCATTTTGTTTGTTTGTTGCTCCGATAACAAGAACATAACCAAGCTTCTTCTCAGATGTTTTTGGGAATCATCAGAAGACTGAGTGTGATGTTATACATCCATGCAAGTCATATGTTGTGTTACTATCCGCCGTTCCATCTCCCTTTGCAGGTTTTCTCGCTTGGAAGCAATTGCATCTATCTCATCAATGAATTACTTTATTCAGAAACACGTACAACAATAATGTGCAAACTTAAAATAAATTGATACTTGAGTCAAAAATAAGGTTCATTTGATCTTCTCAGATGCTTAAGTTAACTAAGTTAGTGACCTATTCATCATTTTATTAAAATCCCAAGACAGAAGTACTTACAGCTCTATCACAGGCCTGAGGAAAGTAGCCTTTTTTTCCAGACTATCGAGATTTTCCAGTGACTGCACGTCAGCAATAGGTATCATGTAAAAGAATACCAGAGCAAACACAGATAATGATATAAGCAGTTTTCTGATGATGAGAGAAACAAATGGTATAGCTAGATTCTTCCAGTAAACATCGCGTGGCTCTGGTGCCCAGTAAGTTAACCAGCGTGTCGGGTTCCTACTTTGCTGAGTTTGAGCACAAATAGCAGCCAGCCCATCTCGAGTCAAATGAAACAAATGCTACAGGCATGATAGCTTTTGTTTCTTTGAGAATTCTCTGACGCTCTGCTACTAACTGAACCAAAAGACAAAATAAAAGTTCAGAACAAAGCTGGAAATTAGTTTTTTTCATATGAAAATGCATCTATTAAAGGCTCAGGGTTAATCAATATGATGATGTACCTTACTCTCTCATTAACATCCATACATTAATACCCTTTGAAGTACTTATGTCTGAAGTGATGCAGGAAACTTCTTATGAAATATAATTGACTTACGTATTTGTCAATTTCCTAGATGCTTTCACTATAGTAGTCAATTGCATCCGTTCTTACACCACAAAGCCCAAGAAATCCTTTCTGACATACAAAAGAATCAGATGGATCAGTAGTAAGATTAGAAGAACTATCATGGTTAGAGGAAGATCCTCTGGATCATGGCTTTTCTCGATGAAACAGGTTTTAAGTTAAGGAACCTTTACTATATTATTGTTAAATGTGTTTGATTGGAATAATTGATAACTGATTTGTCATATATGTCATCAAAAACAGTTCAACCAATAGTTTAACATGTTAGAAATAATTATTGACTTAGTTTTCTACATGCCAAAATAGTTCTCCTCCTGTCATATTATTACATATTAAAGATTACATATTTAATATTTTAACCAATACACAATATTAAACACACACTTCAACTTCTTTGTTAAATGTGTAAAACTATATCTCAACTGTTAATTAAAGATTACATATCATTAGCCCATGACCAATACACAATACATATTAAAGATTACCACTCTAAATTATTAAAGTTTACATATTAAATATTTCAGTAAGTTAGTGCTGTTTTAAGGAATTGGTAGCTGTTCCAGTACACAAACAGTTGAGAAATGGAATTTTACTAAATAATTCAAGTGCAAAATAACACGCAGGGAATTGTCAATAAGGGAAGAGAAATATTATATTTATAAACACTATAAGGATAGTAAACTTCTCATGAGAAACAAACATAAAGCTAGTTTAGAATGCAGCAAGGCACTGTATTCAACAATCAACTCATTTGAATTATCACACAAGTGATATAATAAAACTCAAGGAGATAATTTCATGCAACTTTCAGGACAAAAAGAAGTCTAGGAGTGATGCCAAAATGATAAGCAGCTTTACATCAAAGGTATCTGATATCAGGGTATTTTCATCTTACCTGAGTTGAGGTGCTGTTAAACTAAGGGGACACCTCATCACAGAACTAATGATAAACCAAACACACATATTGACTTATAATACAAGGAATGCAATTTTATCATTTGTAACCCTATATAGGCAGGCAAGGAAAATAAACATTTATTTGTAACAAAAAGAATGTACTCCGTTGCACTCCATCCTAATAAATATGATCCAGTCATAATATGCAAACAAACAACCAAATAACAATTAAGGGGGAAGAAAGGGCCAGATGAGATTCATAACAACTTGTGCATTATTTAGTAATTAAAAGGATGCTAAGAAGCTGAAGCTCATGGATCGATCCTCTGAAGAACAGTCACATTCAAGACTTTGGTGCTCTGCTGATCGAGATTCAAATTCGGCATCAGCTTCCGGTTCTGAGTCACAATCTGAAAAATAAAAGAACTCAACTCAACTTACTTTCTAATCTCGATACAGCTGCTGTTGGAATATTTAAACCATTGTCGAAAAAATGTTAAATTATTAGGAACAATATTCTTGTACCTCTTGAAGGAAAACTGGACCACAACAAATTGGACTGTAACATATTCTAATTAGAGACATATATGCTGACAACAACCTCATCATACCATTTAACAAGGCAGAATTTTTGATATGTCAAAAAAACTAAGTTGTTGAGAAATACATGTTGTGAAGTTGATATTGAAATAAATTGAATAATTTTGATGGTAGGTGTGATATATATCCAGTCATCATTTATAGCATGTATCTTTATGTGATTTCATTCTGAAATTTTCGTATTTTGAAATTAAGCATAACACCAATGTAATTGTTTTCTCTGAGGCAATTTAAGTTCTATTCATTAGAATTTACTTTTTTTCACATTTTCGCTACAAACAAATAAGGGTTTTACAAAAAATTGTTCAGAAGCCTCTGAGGTTTTCAATACCTTCAGCATGTTCAGAAAAAAAAATCAGACATGAAGATGCTCCATATATATATAGTCTTTGGAAATAAATTATTACCTAATGAGGAAGCTTTAATATAGCTTGCAATTTCAATAGATGCATATCTTCCTGGGAGTTTCAACATAATGAAAATATGGCGAGATAACCAAACCATTGCACCAAAAATTGGTATTGTCCATTTCATGTACAATTATAGAAAATATGTTGTGAATAGACCCTTGAAGTATTGGCCGAAGTGTGGATACACCGCATAAGTGAACATTTTTTATTCTTTCAAAAGTGAAAAAATGCAAGTGCGATTCTCACCAATAAACTGTAGACTTCCTCAAACATTCTTAACGATTTTAAGAGTAGAAAGAATTTCACTTAGAGGTCTATTTGCATCAAGTAGAACTATAGTGGTTCTGCTTGTAACAAATAGAACTACGGGGTCTCTTTGCAATTAGGTGAAACTACAAGAGGTACTTTTGCAATTAACTCTCCATATTTGTGCTCCGTGAACATATGATTAACCATATTCATGTGAAAAATAAAGAGCATAGAAACCAACTATAAGAGACTCATCCTTTCTTTCTTTCTTTCTTTTTCCTTTTTCTAACAGTAAATTTATTCAAGCAATCAAGCGTTGAGAAGAGCTAGAGGCTAGAGGAACAAGGCTTCAAACCTTGTAAGAAGTTCTATAGAACTGAAATATTGTTCTTAACAAGTTTTTTAGGAATTAAGACGTCAAACTAAGAAGTTCTATGGTTTCTTTCTGCCTGGGCAGTTACTTCTCAATCTGACACAAATAAATTGGGAGAATTAATGACACCAAAATACACTATCATTGTTTGTAATCACGCTGTAGGTTAAGACCATCAAGGAGCATGCACAAATTCGCATGCTAGCACATACATATAGATGTAATTGTACAATTCATTGGTTCCAGAATTGTTGTTTCACCATGGTCTGTGTACTGTTAGAACTTATAGCAGATAGCTTTTGCAAGGTTTCTAAAAGACACATGTTCCCTTGATATTAACACATGGTCTGTGTACTGTTAGAACTTATAGCAGGTAACTTTTTCAACGTTTCTAAAAGACACCTATTCCCTTGATATTACTTTGTTATTTCGTATAGGAATCTAGTATGAGAGATTCACGACATTATTAGACTTATGAAGTTTTATCTGCATAAATAAACTGTATTACTTTCCCAGGTGCAAATTAATATCAATAGGTTTACACCGGTATGTACATATTCAAGGTAAGGCGACAACATAATATGGGTATGCAAATACCATACATCAGGAAAATCTAGATATGAATATGTTACGGAAATGCCATCATAAATATGTGTCTGCGAATGCATGCGTGTGCATGAAGTAATGTTATTTCTCTCCAACACACATGTAAGACTATAATGTTGAGAATCACAAAATCTAAGCCAATACAAAAAGTTCTGCAAGCTTGGAGATCTTAAGAGGCAACTTAGAATTGATATAGTAAAATCTTCCTCAAGCTTGTTCAAGCTGTCCTTGAACAAATTTTACTCTAGCTTACATAACTGAAGAAGCTTGAGTATAGTTGGCAAAACTCACGCTATTCCCAAGGGGCTTGATATAAAGATCTCGAAAGGTCTTTATATCAAGTATGAAACTATGCATGAATGCATATGTGCGCGACCTAAAACAACATTATTTATGTTTTAACTTAAAGCAAGCAACCTTGAATGTTACTAAAAAAAGCAAGTTTTAATGATCTTCATCATTAGCCTCAAAAAGTATCCCAAAAAAGAAGACAATTTTGAAACCCATCACACCGAGAATGCCTTTAGACACTTGCCTGACTTAGTAAAATAATTGAAACCCAGTTTGAGCAAAATTGAAGACCCATTTAAATAATTGAACTGATGTGAATAGATAAAACTCTCAAACTCGGCTAATTTTACAACCTGCATAGAAACCAACTATAAGAGACTTATCCTTTCTTTCTTTCTTTCTTTTTCCTTTTTCTAACAGTAAATTTATTCAAGCAATCAAGCGTTGAGAAGAGCTAGAGGCTAGAGGAACAAGGCTTCAAACCTTGTAAGAAGTTCTATAGAACTGAAATATTGTTCTTAACAAGTTTTTTAGGAATTAAGACGTCAAACTAAGAAGTTCTATAGAATTTTAGGAAATTATTAGATTGGAGATACTACATGTGACTAAATGATAATTAGGAGCTCGAATGATGAGAAACCTTACATTTAAGATCCGATAATCTGAAGTTCATGATCTTTTGCTCCACCAGAGACTTGTGTACTCTGCAGAACAGAACAAAGCTTCATATTCATATTCTATTAGACTAAAACAAGTTGCAATAAAGTTAATAGTATAAAGAACTAAAAAAAACTCAAATGTGTCATGTCTATCTTGAAGAAATAATGCAGCTTGACTGGAAATGACTGGGGGAGTTTGGATCACCAGTCACCAGCAATCTAAATATGTACGTTACATTGTATTGAATAAATAAGAAAACACAAAACACATAATGAAGTGGATTTTTCGATGGCTTGACCTAAATCGATTTTCCTTGAGCAACAAACAAAATCTGAATGTATCCTACAAGTCAACTGGCATTCATGTTTGTTCACTGTTATTGTACTACCTTCCAAAAAATGAATATAAACTAATTATGTAAAATCACAAGGAAATAAATCAAGAGTAGAGAAATGGTGCCTTGTTATATCATTGGATCAATCCATGTAGTGCATGCAACCATGGATGATGAAGCATCCATTGTTCTGATAGGGACATTAACTACACGGACTTTTAGACTGAAGGATTTACATGTCCACTTTACATATGATCAATAATTAAAAATTTAAAATAGGTTACAGCCAAATAAACTTGATTTAGCACACTTTTAACATGAGACAAACTGCATCTATTGTAAATTAAAGACTGTAAACCTAAAAATGAGCGTATTGTAACTATAACTTAAGTAAAATTTGAATGAAAAGCAGGTATATATTAGAATAAATACCTAATTTAAGAAAGAAATCATAACCGATACAGCTGCTGTTGGAATATTTAAACTCTTGTAGCTTGAAACTGTAGGAATTCGAAAATTAGGGCAAAATTATATCAAAATTTAAGGACTGAAGAACTAAAAGGGAGAGTTAGGGTTTTGTATAGAGGAGTGAAGACGAAGAAGAAATACCTTTGTGAATAACCAAATTCTGAAAATTGTGGAGATGAAAGCGGAAATTCTGAAGAAATACTGAGCTTTGCAAATCTCTGTAACGATTCGGCTTCGACGGAGAAGGGTAAACGATGATTAATAATCATCTTTGGAAACGCTTCGGCTTCGTCGGAGAAGGTAAAACGATCAACACTTCGGCTTCGGCGGAGAGGAAGGAGTAATGGACGTGAGAAATTTCCGAAGTTAATGTCGAATTTTCTGTATCGCTGGGAGAAATTGGTTATATTTATTTTGGTTGAAGGTTAACTTGGGGAGAGTAAAGTTTTTCAGGTACTGGCACTTTTAAAGGGTAGATAGATAAACATATAATAAGGACGCATTTGGTTAAATTTTTTTTAAACGGAAAGGAGTTGAAAGCTGACATAGTGTGTCAGAGCACTAGTTCTTTTTCTAATGCTGCTCCCCACCCATTTCACTGACATCTTCCAGCTTTCCACCCAATTTGCTCAATTTTGCAGCGTTTTGGATGGAAAGCTGTAAGTTGTCAAAAATACCCAACAATCTTCGGCAATCCAAACAGGTCCTAAGTGATTTTTTAAAGTTATAAATCACACTAGCGTATGCATGCACAGTCTTAAAGAAGCGATGCACGTTCGTAGATTGTATGGCACAACTGTGCAAATTCCGAAAACAAAGTGACTGTTTTGTTAAAATTAGAAGGAAAACATTTAAAAAAATTTACAGGATAGGGGGAATTGAACCCGACGTGAATCGAACACGCAACCTTCTGATCTGGAGTCAGACGCGCTACCATTGCGCCACGGATCCTCACATTGTTGCTATTTATTTATTTAATTATAATGATATCCATAATCCATCTGCATACTGTAGATTATCATCCCCGAACGATTCAAGAGGAAAGACTATATGCCCATAACTCGATGGTCGGAAATCCAGAGGAGTTTATATATGCACCGCCGATCGATGATTGAAACTCACAACAAAGGAGCCTCGAGAGTCCTGAATAAAATCATGCACGGAAGCCCTCCCAAGTTTTCAATATGGTATTATCAAAATAAAATATTTTTCAAAAAAAATTGAATGAATTTATAACTTTATTAATTTATTAAAATTAAAAAAATAGTATATGAAAAGTTATAAGCAAAACCAAATAGCTGCAATGGTAAATTGTAAAATTATAAAATTTTAAAATTGAACCAAACAATTTCAGCTGCAGTTACATGCAGGACGTTTGTCTCAATTGCGTGCGAGTGATACTTGCGTTGCAACTATTAGTTACAAGCTACCAAACACCCCCTAAATGCAGCTGCAATTGAAGTTGCACAAAGACCTTTGTTTTGAGCTGATGATTAATGCAGATAAGAGCATGAGTTGCAATTGCAATTTTTTTTTTAAAGTTGGAAATGGGATTAAATTGTAGCTCAACTTGTAACCTACTGTTAGCATAAGCCCAAAAAAGTTGATATTGTATGAAACAACCGCATGTAATTATAGCTACGTATATAAATTGTAAAGTTTAACTGGATGCAAGAAACTACATGCATCAGCACTTTTAGTAATTACAGTCCCATATAGCTGAAACTTACAATGAAATTACAACATTTATAATAATATATCACATGATGTCATGATGGTAATCAAGAACGGATTTATAATGGGGACAATGGGGTCATTTGTCCCCATTAACCACCTGAAAAAAATATTTAGTATTAATGTGCCCGACAATTCTCAAATATTTTTTAAATAAACACCCAAATGAGCCAAATTCACTTTGTTCACCTAGCTAACACCCAATCACTAAATTCCCTAGCTTTTTACTCTATAACCAGGACTCGCGCGCGGGACTCCTTTTGTTGCGAGTTACGATCATCAATCGGTAGGACATAAGCTCCTCCAGATTGCCGGCCGTCGAATTGTAGACATATAGTTTTCCCTCACCAAAGTTTCTAGATCTTTCCCAGATGATAATCTTGTGTTTCTCTCTCTCTCTCTCTCTCTCTCTCTATATATATATATATATATATATCCTTTTGTTGCGAGTTACGATCATCAATCGGTAGGACATAAGCTCCTCCAGATTGCCGGCCGTCGAATTGTAGACATATAGTTTTCCCTCACCAAAGTTTCTAGATCTTTCCCAGATGATAATCTTGTGTTTCTCTCTCTCTCTCTCTCTCTCTCTCTATATATATATATATATATATA